TATTGTTGCCAATAAATCTTATGTCTCTTATGAAAAATAGGATTTACATTGGTAAAACGAACATTATGGCATTTTTATTCAAACAATATTTATCATTTAAGCAAAAATGTACATCGTCGGCTCCGTGGCACAGTGGCTTATCAATGAGTTGCAGCGCTGAGGATCGCGGGTTTGAATCCCGCAGGGAACAAGTAATTAATTAGCCTACAGATTATTGATCCGTGAATGTTTGTCCTTGATCAATTGATGTATGTAAACAGCCCCCAAGTTAAAGGGGAAAAGTTCTAGTGTGGAGGTAACGTTTTAAAAAAAACAACAAATATTTTCCCTCTTCCCGCATTTTTGATTCACTGAGTTGTCTACCCTAGTAACAATAAATAAGCACTTAATACACGAGTATTGTGCGACGATGAGTGCAGAGCAATTTGCCAATATCACTGACAGTTGGTGCCAAGGTTGCCAGACGGACAGGCGGCCATTAATCAACGCAATGTTTAGGTCATGCTATACGTTCATCTATAGACTGAATCATGTTACTGTTAAGCCATGTTTAGTACTATACTGGATGATCCTTTTTACCATCTGAAAAAAAAATAGGATATAACATGTGAACAGAGTAGAAGCTTATGACACTAATATTTGCAAAAATAGAAAAGTTTTGAATTTAAACATTTGGAAAATATTTCTTTGAACAATTACTTTGCCCTTTGCTCTTGAGCCTGTGACCCTGCGAAGTGACAAGGTCAAAGATGCCTACTAAATTTATTGTTTTATTGCCGTTCCTCAAGTATAACATTTGAATTTCGATGGATTTTAATTAATTTATTTATTTAATTCAAAACTTTTGTTTTTATTTTTCGCAAAATATCAGTGCCACAGGTTTCTACTCCGTTCACATGTAACACCTTATTTTTTCCAGACGGTAAAAATGTCACCAGTATATGATGGAAGGATGATTTTGCGTAATCTTTGTAAAAAGAGTTGGCTGAAGCTGATAGAAGATAAGTTGGTACAATTTAGTTAATTCGATTCGATTGCCTCTTTGGTCTAGTGGTCGTTAACTGCTGATCAAGAGGCCCCGGTTCTAATCCTGAGTCGGGCCAAAGCAGGTATTGGATTTTCTGTCAAGAAATTTTCAGTAACAGCCCAGAGTCAAGGTGCTGGTGGTATTTCACCCCCTGCCTCGGAAAGCACGTAAAGCCGTATGTCTTGCACCTGATCTCCTTCCGGTCACTCTCATAGTCTGATTGGAATTATTGTCCAATCAGACTATGAGAGTGAGGAAGTAGAGAGTGGCCCTGTGTTGGCGCATAAACATGGGAATTTTAAGCGCAGATGGCTAGTTTTCGTTGAAGCAGGCCGCCATGACCAAAATTATTTGGTCAGTAAAATTCAGTCGCTTATTGTTATTTTTTATCTGGTAAAGTAAAGGAAAGTCACAGGCTTTATGCACCCCACTACTGGGCAGAGGCCTCCTCCATAGCAATCAGTCGGCTTCGCTGATTCGTAATGGCGATTGGCGAATTAATTGGCGACTTAATATGAAGGACATATCCTCGATATATTATTTTTCTTAAATCATACTGGTGGCACTTGATAAATCAGCACTTATAATTACAATTAAAAATTTCATTGGTGCTAGCGAGACTCAAGCCCGGTATGGTTTTTTTTATAGAATAAGGGTGACAAACGAGCACACAGTCCACCTGATGGTAAGTGGATGCTGTGGCCCATAGACATCTACATCTTTCCTCGGTTAAGGATCAAAATTCAGATGTGTTGTCACTCTTGCGCACTAAGAACGAATGCTTCATTTCCAGTACAAGAGAGCAGCATGGCTCTATCACGTATGATTTTTAATTTTTAAGCCTCGCATACTATAAAATTTATAACAAAAAGTCGGGAATTAAAAATAAGTTAAATTAAACACGATAAAATTCGTAAAAATAGTTTTATTCAATTTATAGCGATCGTTTAACTCCTTTTTTGCTTGTAGAAATGCTTACACGTACAAATGTCTTACAAGGTCACGGACGGGTTATGTCAGTCTTGCACCGACTAAAACAACACGGTGTTCCACCTTCTTCTTTCACTAGTGCCGGCCTATGGTGGCACCTCCTTGGGAGAGGACAAATCCTCCCCTTCTCAGGCAAGAACCAGAACATGAGGCACGATTTCTTCCGCGGCCATTAACTTTACCTACGTAACAGAACCCCAGATTTCCATATGCGGAAGCCATAGACACCTGGATTTTAGTTCTCGATCGTTAAGCCACTGAACAATCACGGCTTTTTATCTGTTATAATAAGATTGCTACAGGATAATAATGTCCTCCAGAACCTACTTGGGTCTCGGCAGCCAGTCTCAACGGAGACCAGTCATCTGTGCAGGACAGGACTATAGCGCTCAAGTGCACTCTCTATTACCTCACACTCGTCCTATGGAACGGTAATACGAGACAACTAAAAATAAATCAGGCGCAGTACCAACGGCTTTATGTGCATTCCGAGGCACGAGGGTGAAACACCCCAAACTTGCTGACTCCAGGTCGCTCCTGAGAATTTTTTGACAGAAAAACCCAATAATCGATTCTAGCCCAACCCGCGGTATGAACGCGAGACCAAGGAGGTAGCCAGAATAGCATATTGTGTATGGAATATAATTAGATCTAAAGACCGTACTGAAACTTTTTATTTTAGTCTATAGGATGACAAATTATATGCATTTTTGTTAATATTCGAGGATAGACGTTAGTTTCAACAGTATCAGGTAGACTGTGCGCTCGTTTCTCACTATTACTTTGATAAACAGGGTTATTTTCGAGAATGTGTATTTAGTGTACAAAAATTTATTAAAAATGGATTTTTATAGAATAAGGGCAACAAACGAGCGCAAAGTTCACCTGATGGTAAATGGATGTCTTAGCACAACTACAATACAATTACAATTACTACAAAACAACTACAATTTCCTCGACTAAGAATCAAAATGCAAATGCTTCGGATTCAGTAAAAAATGTCTCCAGTTCTTTACACTCACCATACACATTATTTTACGCTTGTATTCTGTGAGAGCGTGGTCCTTCCCCGGTTGAGCCGATCCATTCATGCTACAACCTAATCTATCTGTAGCACAGCTTTACCGCGTAAGAATAAAATAAAACAAGTATTTTGTTCACTGTATTATTAATTTTAAAAACCTTAGATACATAAAAATGTAACAAACATTTATAATAGGTAACCAATATTATTTTAAAATTAATTCCTAAGCTCAAACACAGATTTTTCTCAGTTGTACTTATTATTTGTTGTAATTACTATTTTTAATTATTATATTATATTATTTAAATGATATACCAATTAAAATATTTTTAAGTAAATAAACAGAGACTGAGAAGTGATTGGGCCATTGCTATGGCACAGTTTGAATTAGCTGAGGTAGTATTATCATCGTCATTATAGCCCTTCACAAGTCCACAGCTAAACATTAGTCTTTCCCAAAGAATTCCACAAAGTTTGATCGTGATTTAAAAAAAATTTTTGAGTACATGTGGTTTAGTTTCCTGCCCAATGTGAATTCTAGACTGAACGAACGTCGCGGAATATTTTAATGCTTACTACAAAATAGGTATGTAGGTACATACTACGACAAATTGCAAGATAGTATGTTTGGTTCTACGGTGAACCGAACATTACTTACTAATTAGTAATATTTACAAATTATAATAACCTACCACAAAGAATCAAACTGAATAAAATTATTTACCATGTAACAGGCAGGTGCCGTTCATTGTTTTACTCGTAATTCAATTTTATTCACGCGTCATACCGACTCCTCGGTTAATCTATCTCAAAGTAGTAATTATAACGGGTGGCAATGAGATAATCACATTAAATAGCACAACGGTAAATACAAGTTTATATATGTCTGTTAAAATATTAAAATAAACAGTAATACAAAAAATAAAAAATGCGTCTTTCAAACAAAAATATTAACGTAAAAATTTACATGAAATAAAGATTATCTTTATAATATTAGTTTAGTGACCTGAAGTGACCTGAAAAGCGACAACGATGCTGCGCGCAGTGCTCAAGCGGTATCGACATAGGTAATTATTTACCTACACTTGCCGATACATAGGTAATTATTTACCTACAGTTGCCCAAACGTAGGTAATTATTTACCTATAACTTGCCGATACATAGGTAATTATTTACCTACACATGCCCATACATAGGTAATTATTTACCTACACTTGCCCATACATATATAATTATTTACCTACACTTGCCCAAACGTAGGTAATTATTTACCTACACTGACCCATACATAGGTAATTATTTAACTACACTTGCCCGTACATAGGTAAATATTTACCTACACTAGCTCGTACATAGGTAATAATTTACCTACACTAGCCCATACATAGGTAATTATTTATCTACACTTGCCCATACATAGATAATTAAGCGAAACACGAAAAATAGCTACCGCGACTAGAATTCTTATTATTATATATTTTAGTAATGTTTATCAAATGACGTTACGTAGGATAATTCTCTTCATTTAATGTGAAAAGTGATAACTTCGTCGCCACTCCGTATACTCTATAAACGTTATTCATCAACAATTTTTTCGCCATTATAATATGGACTACGAAAAGACTGTTATAGATATAAAATTTACTACTTTTAATAAAAAAGAATCATTATAATCTGTTTACAATTGGTAAAGATATCAATAAACAACATGTAACAAAAACTGACACGTGCATCGGTACAGCAAGATCTATGACAATACTCCTCGGCCAAAGCAGACGTAATAAAACCACATGGGTAACAATTATAAAGGTAATTTACAAATATTTTATTTTTTAATTTAAGTAATTTTTTTATGGGCTGTTTTCTGAAGTAAGCTTTATTTACTTTATTTAACCGACGATAACTGTGGCATGGTTCTACCACATATAAACCCCCATCTATCTTAATCAACCACGCATCTCAATCAACAGTAACCCGACTGATTTTATACGAATCTCCAACTACATTATCAGTGGCATATCTATGGAAGAAATTGCTTTTGAAATCCAATCCAGTTTCCCCACTTGTACCGTTCATAGCTGTGACCACATCGTTAGTCTTCTTCCCGTCTTTAGGACCTAACGTTAGGTTATACCTTGTTATCTCTAAGCCTAAATTCCTAGAACTGTACGTTCTGCCCAATGATTTCGTTCTTTTAACTACGAATTTATCCTTAGGCATTTTAACGTCATATATTGGATTGATGATTCCGGTGTAATTTAATGGATAGTTTAAATTTTGGTCCAAAGTTAAACGCGTTTTCGCATGTTCTAAGTAATTTAAGGAGTGTTCGAGTTCTTGCAGGCGTTTTGATGGCACGTAATCGGGATACAGCTTTGTTATCTGGAACATAATATAATAATAATAATAATATAATGTCCTCCAAACCAAACATCGGTCTCTGCGGAGATTGTCAATAGAGACTATCCATCTGGGCTGGACAGGATTATAGTGAACATACACTCATGCGCAAGTTGCACTCTCTATTCCCTCACTATCATAGTTCAATGGGAGAGAATCCGACACGACCGCAGAAGATCAGGCGCAAGACCAACGTCTTTACGTGCTTTACGAGACTCGAGAATTTCTTGTCAGAAAAACCCAATAACTGATTTCGACCCGACCCAGGATTCGAACCCAGGACCCCAAGATCATTAGTCGCGTTTACAACCGGCAGTCATAATACATATATAAGCACGTGAGGGTAATATGGTCACTTTAAGTTTTGCCGCGCTATAAAACCAAAACTAGGAGAAGGACAGAGACAAAAACACAAAGTCGTATACTATATACATTAAGAAAAAAAATATCAAACAAGTTTTGTCAATAATAAGGAAGACTTCGAAAAATCTACTTATAAAAAATTAACTACCCTACACCATACTGAAATCGACCAAGATATTAACTATAACGTCAACTGTCAAAATGGCGTCGATAAAGCAGCGCCCTTTTGACCCTTTATTAATTGATTGGCTTTTGTGTTACGATGAAGAGCTATTGTAACACAAAGCCATCAATGCAAATAAGGCTGTAGTTTTTGAGTTACAAGAAAGAGACCATATTAACCGGATGACCATACCTCGTCTTTTTTCTAAGAAAAATCGCGGAACATACATGGGGTATTTTCATGTAGCCCGAAAGGTCAGCATTCCAAAAAAAATTTTTGGACGTCACCTTTTGGACCATCCTGTATATAAAGCCGTTAACCATGTAGTGACGGTGTAAGAATATCCACTACGAGTACCCCATATCGTCTCGTGAGTGTCGCAAGAGGTGACAGAGGGAAAGAAATCAGGAGATGAGCAGCAGCGTCGTCCTAACGACTAAATATAAATATATAACTAAATATAATACGACTAAATATAAAAAATAGCAGTTATTGGGAACTGTTGAAAGCTT